GAGAGAGAGAGAGAGACGGTCTGTTGCCAGCCGGAAGAAACACGTGGAGAAAGCATCATGCTTGATGTTCAACGGGATCGTGTGGTTTGACTGTGCTAGCATAAAAACAGGACGGGGCAAAAATGGAGTGTATTTGCGTGAGACACCGCAACTAACTAATTACACCATTTCTATAGGAAACAGGCAAGCAGTCACATGTGGTTATGCCTGGGACTGGTAGGTGAGCTGCATTCACAGATAGTTAGAGCGAATGTAATGGATAAGTAAAAGAAATAATTAACCTATCATACGGTTAATTTTGCCACATGCAGAACAAATGAGACCTGAAGTAAAGAGCTAGGACGTGCTGAACAGCTGTTTCAATCTGGTTGGGTTTCATGAGCAATGCGAATAGATCGACCCAACTGGGGATCGCGAACCCGGGACCTCACAGGTAGAACGCAAATATATTACCCACTCGGCCACCGGACAGCTGATCAGAATGTTTTTCTTTTTTTTTTCTTATACACGACGTAGCACAACCCATCTTTGTGACCGAGTGAGTAGTACGCCTGCGTTCCACCTGTGAGGTTTGATCCCCAGTTTGGTTGATGGTTTTGCACGGTTATGAGATCCATTCTAGTCAAAATAGCTCTTCCGTGTTTCCCCGCATTTCAGTTCAAGTTTCATTGGTTCTGTGCACGACGAAATGCACTAGACGATCAAACCAAATCTTCTTTTTCTCTCTGAACTCAACAGTCATGAGTACGTAGAACGGGTTAATCGAAGAGCGCCAATTGAAGCGAACACGCATGACAACGATTAGCGAGCGAGAGGGGGTGCAAGATGTGGAAACGGCAGACACCACTGGGAGAGGGGAGATTGCACAGGATAAAAATCACTTTGACACAGGTGTCGAACCCCGATCACGATGGTCAGTAACAAAGAAATGACCATACTGGATTAGGATGATGTAACTCCGAACCAGACGTGTGGTGTGTGTGTGTGTGAATAGTCAACCGAAGGTTAACCAAGACATATGACGTCATCTGATTATTTCTGGCTACATAAACGAGGTTCATAGGGTTGGAGTGTAACGTTGTGTTCTTTATTGACGATCTTCCGTTGGCCGTGCAAATCGAAAGCCAAAAGAAACACACTGACTGTGCGATGATTAGACTCAGTCAAGGGAATACTAATCTCTGTTTCCTCGGGCTTTGTTATTCCGTTATTCAGTTAGGTCGGTTAGTTAATAATTCCAAAGTGTCGACTGGAATGCCAGCGCCAATCTTTTGCAGTCAGAGTATGTAGTACCTGGAACACCCTTCCATCTCATGTAGTTTGTGCACCAACTATTGAATCTTTTAAGCAGAGACTCGATCAAACCTTGGTACATCTCACATCTCTAC